ATTAAAAAAATATTTTATCTTACACCAAGAAGGATCTACTGTTAGAATAAAAGATAATCTTTTACTTCCATGAATGTTGGCTGTATACTGCTAAGGTTTCAGAAAAGGATGTAGTTTTAAAAAACCAAGTGTAAAGACCTATAATTTCTATTTTTATAAAGTGTAAAGACCTATAATTTCTATTTTTATCCCATTTCATTCTCATCTGGATATGTCATCTGGAGAGCCCATTTAACACAGTCTAGCCCACATAGCAACTTAGTGGAGGATTTCTTTCTCTTCCCCACTCTTCCCTTGTAAAATTGGCTGCGTTTAGGTACACTGGCCGTATTGGAAGCCACATAATACTTTTTCAGGGTATCTGGGCACAGTTGAAAGCCATGGAACAAAGGGCCCCATGTCTCTAGTTGCTTCTGTTTCCTCCCTGAATAGTCTGAGGGGAAAGTTTGGGTGAGTGGTCCTATTAGTGAACTTAAGAGAATTTGAATGTCCATTTGTGCCTGGGATGTGGTTCTGGGCTTTATTCAGATAAGCAGTAGAACTTTGAGCAGAATGCTTTGAACTGGTGCAAAAGTGGAAATGTTAGCACTGACCTGTAGTAGTGTGCAGCTTTTAAGAACCGCAGATTGATACTATCTTTGTAGAGATCGAAGGCTAATCAACTACCCTAGAGATCTGGATGTGTGCAAACAGCAGTAGACTTATCCTGATTTAGCATGGGCGTGCCTACAGGAAGTACATTCGTTCCCTTTATGCACAGGGGGTTACATCCCAAGACCCTAGTCGATGCCTGAACCACAAAGAATGCCAAACACTATAGACTAGAATTTTTTTCCTATATACACAAAAGATAAATAACACTTTACAAGTTTGGCATTAGTAAGAGATTTACAACAATAACAAAGCAAAATAAAACAGTGATAAAATAGACCATTATTAAGTAAAATAAAGGTTGCTTGAACACAAGCACTACAATATACAAGAGTAGTACGATAACAGAGACTGACTAAGGGACCGAGTGGTGGGCAGTGCACGTGGGTGTCCAGGCAAAGATGACTCACCTGAGGGAGTGTGATGGCACTAGAGTTCATCACTCCTTAGAATGTTGCAGTTTAAAACATGAATTGTTTGTTTCTGCAATTTTTCTATTTAATATTTTTGGACTGAAGCTAACCACGGGTAACAAAACCTCGGAAAGTAAAAGTACAGGTAAGGAGAGATGTGTGTCTGTGTATATGCATTGCTAGGGATTGAACCCAGGACCTCATTCATGCTACGCAACTTGCTCTACGAGAGCTACATCCGCAGCCACTTTTAAAATTTTATTTTGAGACAAAGTCTCCCTAAGTTCGCTAGGCTGGCCTTGAACTGGAATTCCTCCTGCCTCAGCCCCCTGGATAGCTGGGGTTATAAGCATGTGCCACGGCCCCCAGCTGAGACTTTTAACGGGGGAGCACAGTGAGCAACGTTTCCGGGGCACACTTTCACATTTGGCCTTACTCAACCCATCGGCATCTAAGTAAATACATAAAACCATCTTGAAACTCAATTCAGTTTTTGTGGACCTAGTTCAATGCAGAGTTTAGATTATACCTGCAGAACCCACTTATTAGCAGTTGCTCGAATGTGGCTACACGTGGTGGACCTCAGCAAATTCAAGCTCACCCCAGACCCTGAACCAGCTTCTAGTAATCAAGGGGGTAAAGTACATATGTTACATTTACTGATGTTCAGAAACCCTGAAACACTCAAGTTACCCTGAATGACACATCCTGCTGCGGGAGGAGGTTAGGTTACACAAATATAGTTACAGAACAAACACACTGGTGAGAGCATCAGGTAAGAGAGTTATTATAGCAAACTGGGACAATCTATAAATCTCAGGTGCTATCTTGTAGCATTCTTAGATTTAGTGTTGATGAGCCTAGCAGACCTAGAGGTCTGCTAGGCTCAGGCCATTCATTTTGAGAAGTTTCCCCAGTAGTCACAAGTTAAACTGGATACAAGAATTAAGGAACATGACTTTTAAAGGGACTAGGACAGCCCAAGATAGTTTTGGTTCTTAACCTGCAGTATTCTGTCCTACCGCAGTTGTGATGTACCCACCAAGGTTGAAAAGTGCAGGATCTTCAACATAGATTCAGCTTCTTCAGAGAACTTCATATGCCTATAAAGGTCAGGAAAAAATGAGGCGCTACCCTTTTAGGGCCATTTCTCTCCAAGGGACAGCCGTCCTTCACTTCTAAATTAGAGGCGAGCTTGGGGCAAAATCTGTAGAAGAAAAGTCACAAAAGGACTGTGTAGGACCAGCCTTTCTGCTGGGTCC